CATAACAAAGGGGCCACAAATCAGAATGGCAACAACCATTCAGGTCATATTACATGTGAATGTGGCGCCAAGCGCCTTCTCGATATTGCCCCAGCTGTTGTAACCATCACGTCGTCTAGTACTGGCAACAGCATTTTACAGCAGCAGCAGCAGCAACAGGTTAGCGGGTCAGCTCCAATCACTTCGACACAACGCGCGCAGACCACCAACTTTTACTCTTCCCAGCAAGTCCGGGACCAAGGCACACCAAAGCGCCAGCGAACGATGCAAGAGCAGCCTATGGGGATGATAGACTCGCAGACGGCGCGCGAGTTCTTCGAGCAGATGCGTCTATCGTTGGCTCAGGACCGCGAGGAAAGGCGCCAGCAGCATACCGAACAAATGAGTGCATTGCGCGAAATCGCATCTTTGCTAAAACAGAGGAGGTGAGGGCGCACACGTTGATGGTAACTCGATGCTGTCAGGTTCTATTTGGCTTGAGATTGCAAGTGAAAGTAAAGACAAGGGGAGTAGTACAGTACACTACACGTTGCTTGTGATACCCCAACGTTTGTCCCTCAACTGGACTCAAATGAACTTGCGCAATAAAATATCGAAGTCGGCTCAAGCATTGCTTGCCATGATTGAAGCGCGGCACTTTCTCGCTGGACAATGCGATGATAATTATTACCATGTAGCTATCTGACACTGCCCTTCCTGCTTCAATAGTGGACTAGCACCACTCCCCAGCCAACCACGAGGATGAGTATTGTTTCCTACGTCGCACTACTAGCAGTGGCAATCTCGTCGACGCTATGGCATATGTACGAATGAATACGCTCCCGTGTGCGGCTCCGACGGAAAACTCTTTTTTATGCGAACGCATGCCTCCTGAACCTAGAGAGTTGCAATCAACCAGAACAAAACATCACGGTGGTTCCCGACGACGTTTGCGGGGAAGGTTGAGCATGGTTCTCAGCCCGCTCAGGAGAAAGAAACATGACGACCCAGTTGGCAACGTAATACAGTCAACTTTCTGTGAAATTGGTCCTCAAAGTGTCCATGAAGTGAGGCCATAATACAAACAAAATGGTCCGACCATTATCCCATACTCACTTCAAGAATAACTGTTTCTGTTTTCCATTTCGCAACCGACGACATCGAGGAGATGCTGGTCGGAGAGGAAGAGGAACCTGCGCGTTGCCGCCTCATCGGCGAGACAGACGTATTGGCGGCTATCACGAGCGAGTTTCTAGATGAGAATGCGAGCAGGAAAGATACGTCGGCGGCCACGGTGTGTCTCGGTCGAGTGTTCATGACCACATTCCGCTTCCAATTCGTGCCGGATGAGCACGAGTACGACCGGGTGCGGCGTCACCTATTGGACCGCAGCGAGGATGAGATCGAAAGCTATTTTCTAATCCCCCTGGGCTGCATCGCATCCGTTAAGAAGAAGAATTCCATTGTAGAGATCTTCACCAAGGACCTGCGCCAGTTGTCGTTCCGGTTCGATGTCGTGGAGATCACCAAGGTGAGAGGCGAACACTGCTATGCTATTGGTGCAAAGGTTGCAGGATCTTATGTGACTGTTGTGCATATAATACAGATCTTTTCGGTCTTGACGACGTACGTGTTTCCGGATAAAATCGAGTTTTTGTTTGCGTTTTACCATAGACTGTCGGAGAACATGCTGGAGGAAGAACCATTGCTGCCGTGTGTTTTGGACTGGGACGTCTACGACGACCAGACTGAGTGGGAAAGGCAGGGTGTGTTTGAAAATGGCAAGTGGAGAGTTACAAGGTGCAACGAAAGTTTTTGCGCGATCGATACGTACCCGGAACGCCTTGCAGTCCCTGCAACCGTAACGGATGAGGTACAACACTATCATTCTATGTGCACATAGTTTTTGGACGAACTGATGCACTGATTTTAATGTAACAGGTGCTGCTAGACGCGATGAATTTCCGCTCACTAGGCCGCATCCCGTGTCTAACATGGCTGAACGGAGCGAATGGAGCTGCTCTGTGTCGATCCAGCCAGCCCAAGATTGGAATGTCGAAAGCCACATCACCGGCTGACGAAAGCCTAGTTGCTGCGATTGCGGCGTCGAGTCTGCTGCAGGATCAATTGCAGATTATTGACTGCCGACCGATGTCTAGCGCACTGGTTTGTTTGTGATATGTTAAGCGTGAGTTGATACACGTGGCGTTTACTAGCAAGATTTTCTGGTCTTGGGTGTAGGCAAATCGCGCTAAAGGATATGGTGTTGAAAGCTCTGTCAACTATAAGAATTGTATAATTAGCTACATGGAAATCCCTAACATCCATTCCATGAGGGAAAGGTGCGGTCCGATTGAAGTGATTCTAGCTCGATTGGATGAAAGTTGTTTAAGTACTAACCTTTTTGCTGTTTATATTCGTGGTGCCATGATTAGCATGAAAAAGCTGCGTAACCTCTGTGCGTCACCCTCATGTGATAACTTACGGTGGCTCGGAAGCATTGAGGACACTAAGTGGTTGGTCTACGTTCGCCAACTTCTGAAGTCCGGTTTGCATATTGCACAATTGCTCCGATCGGGTGAATCAGTGCTATTGCATTGTAGCCACGGTTGGGACCGCACAAGCCAGATCGCGTCGCTTGCTCAAATTTTCATTGATCCTTTCTTCCGAACGTGGAAAGGATTCCAAGTGCTGATTGAAAAAGAATGGTTATCGTTCGGACACCCCTTTCATATTCGGCACTCGCACGGTGAGAAAGCGGATACACAGGAGTCGCCGATTTTTATCCAATTCTTGGATTGCGTCTCGCAGCTCGTTCGAATTTATCCAAGCTACTTTGAGTAAGTTGAGATACCTATCGTTGCTGGATACAATCAGTAAAGTGACCGTAACCGTATCGATCAATTTTGCAGATTTAACGAGGGACTGCTGCTCATGCTCGCCGATGCTCTGCATTCATGTCGCTTTGGGACGTTTTTGTTCGATTGCAAAAAGCACCGTCAGGAAGCTAACTTGGGGAATCGGACCACATCCGTGTGGACTTGGGTTAACGGCTTTCGCCCGCAGCTCACAGAGCAAACCTATGCTCCGAAGCAAGTGTTGAACCCACCTCTGACTGGATTATTGAAGCGAGTCGTACTTTGGGATGCGATGTTCATGCGCTGGTCGGGTCAACAGCTTGTTCAGGAACCTCCGATTTCAACGAATTTCTTCTCCGACAACTCGCAGCGCACACCGACTTGGCAGCTACCACAGGGCACACTCAACGCCCTAAATACTGCACTCACTGTGAAATACCG